GACAGTTGTTTTATCACTTCATTAACAAAATGCGACCCATTATCGCTGGACAATTTCTGAGGAATTCCCCATTTTACAAGAATTTCAGTTAAGATGGCTTTTTCTACTGCAGCGGAGGACGCATGTTTTGCAGGGAAAGCTTCAACCCACTTTGAAAACATATCCACCATTACAAGACAATTTTTTTTTCCCTTCACCGGGTGTTAATTCAATGAAGTCCATCATGACATGTTCAAACGGTCTTCCAACAATGCTGCAACATGTGTTTCCACAGTGCTCCAAAATCATGCGTCACTCCAAATGCATAGCGGGAATCAGTAAATATTGTAACAGAGCGTCCCTTTGCGTATGCACACGCCTGTGTTAAAGCCACTAGCTCTGCCACTTGTGCTGAGAACATCGATGGAAGAGAAGAAGAAATCACGACTGAGTGGTCGTCCACCACAGCGTATCCAGCATGCGACCTTCCGGTGTCCGGGTCTCGATATGCTGATCCATCTACATAGAGAATTAAATCAGGGTTAGTCAATGGTGTATCAGAAAGATCTGGTCTTGGAGTACAGATCTGATTCAGCTCTGCCATGCACGAGTGTGGTGTACCCTCTCCAGGGAGGGGCAACAATGTGGCAGGATTAAGTGTAGAACATTTATGGACAGTCACATGTGGCAATCCCAAGAGTGTTGTATGATATCGAAGCCACCGAGATGCAGAAAGATGTGAAGATTTCTGCTCCTGTAGTATCAAAGCAACAGAATGTGGAACAAACAAGAAAAGCTGGCAGAATCCAACAAAGTCACGTGATGCCAATACTGCTGTTTCACACGCAGCTATGGCTCTTAAACAAGCAGGGAGACCTCTCGCCACAGGATCAAGAAGTTTTGAAAAATAACCTACAGGTTTTAGTGGATCTCCATGTTTTTGCAAAAGTACTGATGTCATGCATCCACATCTCTCGTCCACAAACTGAACTGTTGAATGTATGTCCTCAATTGACCCAGTGACCTACTTTCTGTGTGGGCGTGGCTACACACCGGTGCGCAATATTAATAAATGGCCCTCTGCTTGACACCTGTGAAGAACGCATGAAGCCAAACTGAACCTATGTCTCTGCGTTAAGTTATTCCTCTGTCACTCCGGTGTTTCACTCTTTTACGGCGATGGCTGCGCCAACAGGTTATGGACCCAGTAAAGAGTTTGGAAACCGATGGAACCGATTATGTTTTGACGGAGATGAAAAGAACTATGAATTGTGGGAGACTAAGTTTCTGGCACACTTACCTCTGATTGATCTCAAAAGCACCATACTGAGTCAAGCCCCCGCGGCAGGTGCGGAGAATGCCGTGGAAGACGCCAGTAAGAATGAAGAGGCGTACGCAGTTCTAATTCAACTATTGGACGATAAAAGTTTGTCACTTGTAATGAGAGAAGCCGCTGATGATGGCAGAAAGGCGCTGCAGATCCTCCGTGATCATTACGCAGGCAAAGGGAAGCCGCGCGTAATAAGTTTGTACACGGAGCTGACATCTCTTCAAAAAGGAGTCAATGAGAGCGTCACGGACTACATTATCCGTGCAGAGACTGCTATCACGGCGCTACGTAATGCAGGAGAGACACTGAGCGATGGCTTATTGACTGCAATGATATTAAAAGGCCTGCCTGAAGTGTACAAACCATTTTCTGTTCACATTACACAGAGTGATGATACACTGACATTTGCAGAGTTTAAAACAAAACTCCGACGCTACTAGAGCACAGAAACGTTTGGAGCTTCTGGTTCGGGAGAAGACAGTGTCATGAAAGTTGGAGGACGAGAAAACTGGAGCGCAAGACTCACCTGCTACACCTGTGGCCAGAAGGGGCACAAAGCAGCGGAGTGTGCGTCAGCTGCTGGGGAGCGCCGGGAGCTGAGGCAGTGGTGCAGCTTCTGCAGGAGTTCTACGCACAAAGACGCGCACTGTCGGCGTAAACAGCGGGACAAGGTGAAGCAAGCGGTGGATGAGGAGGACCACACGTTCGCGTTCAAGCTTGAGGATGCTCCGATCGGTGGTGTCAAAGTGAAAGGTCTAATGGTTGACTCGGGAGCGACGAAACACATCATCACGGACATCAGAAGATTCGAGGAGTTTGATCCATCTTTTAAACCTCAGAGCCACATTCTGGAGTTGGCTGATGGAGAGCGCGCCAGTGGTATTGCGCAAAAGAAGGGCACCGCTAAAGTCCGTCTGAGAGACGGTAAAGGCCGTGTCGTGGAGGTGAAGCTGATGGAAGCGCTCTATGTTCCATCATTTTCACAGGACATTTTTTCTGTTAAAGCGGCTACAGCGCAAGGAGCCACCGTCATCTTCAAAGAAGGACAGAACCGTCTCATCCATAAAAACGGTACAAGTTTTGATATTCAAATGCATGACCGACTGTTTTATTTGAGTATTGTTCACAATGATACTGATCAGTGCAATGTGTGTTATGACCTTAATACGTGGCATAAAATATTAGGTCACTGCAATTATGATGACGTGTTAAAATTGGAAAGTGTTGCTAAAGGAATGAACATTAAAGATAAGGGTGAAACTGCTAATCTGACATGTGAAGTCTGTATAAAAGGAAAGTTTGCCCAAAATAGAAGTAGAGAAGATGATGAAAAAGCAAATGTTATTTTACAACTTGTTCACGCAGATTTGGCTGGACCAATAGAGCCTGCAGCAAAGGATGGCTTTAGATTTGCTCTAGGATTTACTGATGACCATTCTGGAGCTGTGTTCACATATTTCCTTAAAGCCAAAAGTGATACTGTTGCTGCTACTGAGAGGTTCATTGCTGATGTAGCACCTTATGGGAAAATCAAATGTTTAAGATCAGACAACGGAACAGAGTTTACGTCGAGTCTATTTCAGTCACTGCTCAGTAAAAATGCCATAAGACATGAAACTTCAGCTCCTTATTCGCCCCATCAGAATGGGACAGCAGAACGAGCTTGGAGAACTCTGTTTGAGATGGCCAGGTGCATGCTCATTGAAAGCAAGTTACCAAAAGAGCTATGGACATATGCAGTGCAGACTGCTGCTATGATCAGAAATAGATGCTACAACAAACGCCTTAGACAAACTCCATATTTTGTGCTAACTGGAAAAAAACCTGATCTGTCTAAGATGAGAGTTTTTGGGTCAGAGTGTTATGCATATAAATATGATAAGAAAAAGCTAGACACACGCTGTGAAAAAGGCATATTTGTTGGTTATGATAAAAACAGTCCAGCATATCTGGTGTTTTATCCAGATACTGGTAAAGTTTCTAAAAATAGGCTGGTAAAATTTATTACTAAAGGTTCTACTGAATGTGATACACAAACAGATGAAGGCATGTTTTATGAACATTTAAAGCCTAAAAAGATGGTGGTAAATCCACAGTTTCAATCTGACGAGACAAAAGTGATCCCACCTGAAATCAAAGTAGAGGTGTGTGATACAAACCAAAATGGTGAGAGTAGCCAGGGTTTTCGTTATCCAAAAAGAGATCGGAAACAGACCCAATTTTACACAGATTATGACTATGAACTAAAATGTGACGAAGATTTAGCACTGACTAATATTGATTATTGTTATCGTGTGACATGTGATGTTCCACAAACACCAAAAGAAGCTTTGAATTCTTCTAAATCAGAGCAGTGGTCCAAAGCTATGAAGGATGAAATGGACGCACTGATAGATAACGATACATTTACTTTGACAACATTACCTGTAGGTAAACATGCAGTGGGGGGTAGATGGGTGTTTGCGGTAAAAGAGAGTCCTGTTGAAACCATATACAAAGCCAGATATGTAGCCAAAGGTTATAGTCAAGTGGCTGGTATTGATTATAATGAAACTTTTTCACCCACTGCTGATATGACCTCTGTGCGTGTTCTGATGCAGCTTGCAGTTCAGTATAGTTTAGAGCTACATCAAATGGATGTCAAAACTGCATACTTACACGCCCCTATAGATTGTGACATTTATATGGAGCAACCTGAAGGATTCGAAGTAGAGTCAAAAACAGGAGAAAAGTTAGTCTGTAAACTCAATAAGTCACTTTACGGGTTGAAGCAGTCAGGACGAAACTGGAATAAGATGCTGCATGATTTTCTTGTTGAAAATGGTTTTGTCCAAAATACTGCTGACTATTGTGTGTACAGAAAAACTGGAAATGAGAAAGTGATGTTGTTAATTTGGGTTGACAATCTCATTATTGCAGCGGGTGATGGTCAAATCCTCAATGATGTGAAGGAAATGTTGGGGGCCAAATTCAAAATTAAAGATCTTGGAAAACTAAGACATTTCCTTGGCATTGATTTTGTCCAAACAAAAGAGGAAGTCAAAATGAATCAAAAACAATATATCACTAAAGTTCTTGAGAGATTTGATATGACCCACTGCAAACCCAGGTTAACCCCATGTGAGATGAAAATGAAATTTGACAATGAGGGTGAAGCTGCCGATCCAAAGAAGTACCGTGAAGTGGTTGGTAGTTTAAACTATGTTATGATGTCTACACGTCCAGACTTGAGTTACATTGTGAGTAAACTGTCTCAATACCTTTCTGAACCTAGAGAACAACATTGGGTTGCAGCTAAACATGTGTTGTTGAGGTATTTGAAATACACTGTAAATCAAGAAATGTGTTACAAGAAACAAAATGTAAGTTTAAAACTTGTGTCCTACTGTGATGCTGACTGGGCGGCTGACCAGAACGACAGACGCAGTGTTACTGGATATTGTTTCAGCTTATGTGAGAGTGGACCTATTGTTTCATGGAAGTCGACAAAAGTGTATGCCCTCATGGCCTCCACTCCTATGTTTAGACCTCCCCGCGCCCGCAACGCGGCGGGTTCACTATTTATAGAGTATGTGATGAAATGTTCGTCTCTTGTTGGGATTGTTGGGACTAGATAAGTCTGTGTAGGGAGATTCCTGTCCCCCCCGACCGCCACTCCTCCCCCGCATCGTTGTGTATCGGCATCGATGCAATGTGTGTCCCAGTGGTGGACTGTATGTGTGTGATGGCTTATTCAGAGGTGTGCGGTGTGTATTGCAGCAGCACGGCGCCACACCCCCCCCCCCGCCGCTGGTACCTCGCTTCGGCTATAGGGTATATGTATGTGATTCCGTCCACGTGCGTTCGATCTCCCACTGCGGAGGGATTTGGTTAAGGTAGCCCGTTCGTGGCGAGCTGTTATTGTGCTCTTTTGAGAGATCTGACGGTGCTTGTGTGCTGGTTTATTGGGGTGAGCGTATGAGGTAGGTAGATTCTGAGTGAGGGTGATACGTTGGTGGTGTGTAGAGAATTCAGATTATTGCACATTCTGACCTTAGTTCAGATTATTGCACATTCTGACATTAGTTCAGATTATTGCACAGTTATTCCTCTTCTCACATTAGTTCAGATTATTGCACATTCTCACTTTAGTTCAGATTATTGTACACTCTGACATTAGTTCAGATTATTGCACATTCTGACATTAGGTCAGATTATTGCACATTCTCACATAATGTCAGAATGTGCAATAATCTGAACTAAGGTCAGAATGTGTGATAATCTGAACTAAGGTCAGAATGTGTAATAATCTGAACTAAGGTAAGAATGTGCAATAATCTGAACTAAGGTCAGAATGTGCAATAATCTGAACTAATGTGAGAATGTGCAATAATCTGAACTAATGTGAGAATGTGAAATAATCTGAACTAATGTGAGAATGTGCAATAATCTGAAATAAGGTCAGAATGTGCAATAATCTGAACTAATGTCAGAATGTGTAATAATCTGAACTAAGGTAAGAATGTGCAATAATCTGAACCAAGGTCAGAATGTGCAATAATCTGAACTAATGTGAGAATGTGAAATAATCTGAACTAATGTCAGAATGTGCAATAATCTGAACTAATGTCAGAATGTGCAATAATCTGAACTAATGTCAGAATGTGCAATAATCTGAACTAAGGTCAGAATGTGCAATAATCTGAACTAATGTCAGAATGTGCAATAATCTGAACTAATGTCAGAATGTGCAATAATCTGAACTAAGGTCAGAATGTGCAATAATCTGAACTAATGTCAGAGTGTACAATAATCTGAACTAAGGTCAGAATGTGCAATAATCTGACCTAATGTCAGAATGTGCAATAATCTGAACTAATGTCAGAGTGTACAATAATCTGAACTAAAGTGAGAATGTGCAATAATCTGAACTAATGTGAGAATGTGCAATAATCTGAACTAATGTGAAAATGTGCAATAATCTGAACTAATGTCAGAATGTGCAATAATCTGAACTAATGTCAGAATGTGCAATAATCTGAACTAAGGTCAGAATGTGCAATAATCTGAACTAAGGTCAGAATGTGCAATTATAGAACCATGTTTGTCTCTGTGCCCTGAGCCTCATACTACTCTATATTTATGCTCTAGAATAAACTCTTGGTTCTTTTTTCTAGAGATAAGTTTGATTTTATTGTTGGTTCTTTATTTTGCTGAGATTGTTTTTTATTTTATTATCGTACAGAGTTATAGTTCATTTATCTTGTGCTGTGTGCTCCTCATTCTACTGTTCTGTAACTGTAGGCAAACCACACAGACACAGGGAGAACATGCAAACACAGACATAAGAGTACCTGTGTGTGTGCAGGGGGAGCTGAGTGACCTGGACTTGGAGACCCTGGCCCCCTACATCCCCATGGACGGAGAGGACTTCCAGCTGATCCCTCTGGGGCCCGAGTCTGAGGGGCCCCCACCGACTCTGCCTCAGCCCTGCTTCAGTGACATCACCAGCCTCTTCAGACCCCTGACCCCAGACAGCCAGGCCCCGGGCCCCTACAGCCGCCCCCACGACAAGAGCCCCCCCCAGGTATGATGTCGCTGTTCAGCCTCTGGTTCTAACATGTGCCGTAAACTCTGGACTATTCTAACATGTGCCGTAAACTCTGGACTATTCAGACATGTGCCGTAAACTCTGGACTATTCAGACATGTGCCGTAATCTCTGGACTATTCAAACACGTGCCGTAAACTTTGGACTATTCAGACATATGCCGTAAACTCTGGACTATTCAAACATGTGGCGTAAACTTTGGACTATTCAGACATGTGCCGTAAACTCTGGACTATTCTAACATGTGCCGTAAACTTTGGACTATTCAGACATGTGCCGTAAACTCTGGACTATTCAGACATGTGCCGTAAACTCTGGACTATTCAGACATGTGCCGTAAACTCTGGACTATTCAAACATGTGCCGTAAACTATGGACTATTCAGACATGTGCCGTAAACTCTGGACTATTCAAACATGTGCCGTAAACTATGGACTATTCAGACATGTGCCGTAAACTCTGGACTATTCAAACATGTGCCGTAAACTCTGGACTATTCAAACATGTGCCGTGAACTCTGGACTATTCAGACATGTGCCGTAAACTCTGGACTATTCTAACATGTGCCGTAAACTCTGGACTATTCAGACATGTGCCGTAAACTCTGGACTATTCAGACATGTGCCGTAAACTCTGGACTATTCAGACATGTGCCGTAAACTCTGGACTATTCAGACATGTGCCGTAAACTCTGGACTATTCTAACATGTGCCGTAAACTCTGGACTATTCAGACATGTGCCGTAAACTCTGGACTATTCAAACATGTGCCGTAAACTATGGACTATTCAGACATGTGCCGTAAACTCTGGACTATTCAAACATGTGCCGTAAACTCTGGACTATTCTAACATGTGCCGTGAACTCTGGACTATTCAGACATGTGCCGTAAACTCTGGACTATTCTAACATGTGCCGTAAACTCTGGACTATTCAGACATGTGCCGTAAACTCTGGACTATTCAGACATGTGCCGTAAACTCTGGACTATTCTAACATGTGCCGTAAACTCTGGACTATTCTGACATGTGCCGTAAACTCTGGACTATTCTGACATGTGCCGTAAACTCTGGACTATTCAGACATGTGCCGTAAACTCTGGACTATTCAGACATGTGCCGTAAACTCTGGACTATTCTAACATGTGCCGTAAACTCTGGACTATTCAGACATGTGCCGTAAACTCTGGACTATTCTAACATGTGCCGTAAACTCTGGTTTGGTGTGGCTTATGATCAGGTGTGGCTTATAGTCCAAAAACACAGACTGTATATTGAACTCTGACTGGTGTGCTGCAGGAGACAGGGCTGTCCCGGTCCAGGGCCTACATACCCGGACAGACCCTCCCCTCACTGTACCAGCCCTCCCCCTGCACCCCCCTGTCCTCTGGGGGAGGCAGACAGAACCTGCAGTGGCCCCCGGACCCTCTGCTGACGTACCAGCACCAAGGGCCCCCACAGCAGGAGGAGAAGGCCTTCATGGGGGACAGAGGAGAGGGGAGGGCCTCCTACCAGCAGCACGGGCCCCGAGGGTAAGATATTCATTTAATATAATTATATATGGGACTCTGAGGAACACAGGGACTGGACTCCTGCTGGGACTTTGAGGAGCACAGGGACTGGCCTCCTGCTGGGACTCTGAGGAGCACAGGGACTGGCCTCCTGCTGGGACTCTGAGGAACACAGGGACTGGCCTCCTGCTGGGACTCTGAGGAGCACAGGGACTGGCCTCCTGCTGGGACTCTGAGGAACACAGGGACTGGCCTCCTGCTGGGACTCTGAGGAACACAGGGACTGGCCTCCTGCTGGGACTCTGAGGAACACAGGGACTGGCCTCCTGCTGGGACTCTGAGGAACACAGGGACTGGCCTCCTGCTGGGACTCTGAGGAGCACAGGGACTGGCCTCCTGCTGGTCCCAGAGTCAGGACAAACCATGAGGAGGCAGCGTTTCAGATTCATGCTAAAATCTGGAACAGTCTTCCTGAAAATGTGAGACAGACTTTTTCTCTGACAATGTTCAAATCCAGTTCTGTTTTGTTTGCAACAACTGAAGGATTTAACTCTGTGACTATTTATGTTTCTCTCTGGTTTTGTTCATCACTTGGAGTTCCCTTGTTCTGTGCTATACTAATAAACTTGTTGTGTACAGACTGTGTGAAAGTCTGGGCGCCTCCTACAGAGACATGACTGCAGCGAGTTTGGGCAGAAGTAAACGCTCCTACAGTCAGCTGGACATGGTGAGATCCTCTCCCCTCTGTCTCCTCTCTCCTTTCCCATGTCTCTCCTCTCTCCCCTCTTCTCTTTCACATGTGTGTGTTCTCAGGGCCAGGCTTCCAGAATAATGTGGAAGAAGATGAGAGGAGACTTGGCTCCTGCTCTGGACTTGTCTGCGAGGAGCAGCTCTGTCTCAGGTCAGACCTGAAGCTGCTCACACAGGGGAGGGGTCTAATGTGAAAGTCCTTAGATTAAGAATGAGAGTCGGTAAAACCAACTCAGTCTGAGTAAGACCCACTCCAGGGTTAAGTTGTTTTCAGTGTTTTTACTGCGGCCTCTCGCTGAATGAAACCGGTGATGTTGAAAAACATGTTAATGACAGAGACACTGCAGTCAGGCCTGATCAAGGGTGTGTTCTCTGTTGTGAGTGTGACGCGTTGATAAAATCCATGCAATAAGACTTTAGTCACTTTGGTCTAATCCTAAACTCATAAAGTAAAACAGCTCTGATTGTCAATGTGTGATTGTAAACACCAAGAAAATTTTAACGGGAACTGTACAAATAAAATTGTATTTTTTCCACTGGTTAAACAAAAGTTGAATACAATAAATAAGCATTGTCCTCAAAGCCCAAACTGAAGTCTGTGGATTGTGCTGAAATGCATTCTATTTACATGGTGTCTGTGGCTGCAGGTGTCTCCTGGTCCGATGGGGCAGTGTCTTCAGGGCCAGGCCTGGTCAGCGGGGCCCTCAGTGGGGCCCTCAGAGTGGCCTCCATACAGCAGCAGCACAGGAAGTGCCAGTATCCCGGTAGTAGAGCCCTCATGCACCACAGCCTGCCGCCAACAAACACGGACCGAGGTCAGACTCACAAACACAACAGTTAAACACAGTGTAGTTAAACATGTGAATGACAGCTTCACTCAGGACCAGTCTGAGCCCCTGGTGGCCACATGGTGTCACATAGTCCTCTGAGCGCCCCCTGGTGGCCACATGGTGTCACATAGTCCTCTGAGCGCCCCCTGGTGGCCACATGGTGTCACATAGTCCTCTGAGCGCCCCCTGGTGGTCACATGGTGTCACATAGTCCTCTGAGCGCCCCCTGATGGTCACATGGTGTCACATAGTCCTCTGATTGCCCCCTGGTGTCTACATGACACCAGTTGGTCAGTTTGCTCAGTGTGTAGAGCATTGGCCTTTGAGTCAGAGGGTCGTGGGTTCGAGCCCGACTTTCACCACGACTCCCACTGTCTGCTGTTGTTGTGTCCTTAGGCAAGACACTTTACCCCCATTGCCTAGAATGAGTCTGGTGTGTGTGTGTGAGACTGGTTGCCTCGCTTCTGTCAGTGTGCCCCAGGGCAGCTGTGGCTACAGTAGTTTATCATTGTGTTTGGAGAGAAAGAATAATGACATGTGAGACTTTGGGTGTCCACAAAAGCGCTTTATAAAACTGATGCATTATTATTATTATTATTTGTATTATTATTATTATGGTGTCACAGAGTGTTGTGTTGGTTGCAGGGAGGAGCCTGCGCCTCCTCGACACCTCCTTCGACCGCTCCTCTCTCCCGGAGCTGACTCGTTACGACTGTGAGGTCAACGTCCCGCTGCAGGGAACGCTGCACCTACTGCAAGGATGGGAGCTGCTGCGGGCGCTGGACCAGGCCTCCACCTAGACCCAGGCCGGACCAGGCCACACCGGACCAGGCCACACCTAGACCCAGGCTGAACCAAGCCACACCTAGACCCAGGCTGAACCAAGCCACACCGAAAGACAAGACCAGCCCAAACCCAGACCCAGGTCATGCTGTACCAGGCTACCCCTGAGAGACCAGGACAGACCCAGACCCAAGCCCACGTCATTTTGGACCAGGGCCCCACATAAAGACCTACCCAGACTTGGACCCAGACCCAACCCATACTGGACCAGGCCATACTGGACCAGGCCATAGGAAAACATAGGAAAATACAAACACCTCCTGAATCAGCAACTTAAACCCAATGGGAATAAAAAATAATTCTTGGGGAGGCCCCAGACCCAGACCATGCTGGACCTGGCCTCCAGCTACAGACTGGACTCAGACCCAGACCCCTGAGCTCCTTCAGTCTCGTCGCTCACAGACACTGCACAAGAACATGATGCACATTCATCAAAAAGACCAAACACACGATTTTAAATGAAATATGAGGCTGTAGACCCAGGACTGAGGCTGTAGACCCAGGACTGAGGCTGTAGACCCAGGACTGAGGCTGTAGATCCAGGACTGAGGCTGTAGATCCAGGACTGAGACAGTAGACCCAGGACTGAGGCTGTAGACCCAGGACTGAGGCTGTAGACCCAGGACTGAGGCTGTAGACCCAGGACTGAGGCTGTAGACCCAGGACTGAGGCTGTAGACCCAGGACTGAGGCTGTAGACCCAGGACTGAGGCTGTAGACCCAGGACTGAGGCTGTAGACCCAGGACTGAGGCTGTTCCCATGTCAATAATCTAAAATATACCAGATTATGTTTTAAAAGTTTCTAAATCTGTGTTTAGTTTAAATACAGACGAACCAAAAGTGTGTAGAATCTTCTGCTGCGTCGTGTTGTTCATAGATTTGAGAGTTTTAGTAAAATGCAGCTGTTTCTGGTTCAGTTTCTCTTTGTGCCTTAAAATAAAACACTATATTTCTATAATCCTCTGATCCTGTGGAAAGTGCCGGCTCCACAGGCACCAAGCACTTTGTCAGAACCACACGTGTCACATGTCAGTACCACACGTGTCACATGTCAGAACCACACGTGTCACATGTCAGTACCACACGTGTCACATGTCAGAACCACACGTGTCACATGTCAGAACCACACGTGTCACATGTCAGTACCACACGTGTCACATGTCAGAACCACACGTGTCACATGTCAGAACCACACGTGTCACATGTCAGTACCACACGTGTCACATGTCAGAACCACACGTGTCACATGTCAGTACCACACGTGTCACATGTCAGTACCACACGTGTCACATGTCAGAACCACACGTGTCACATGTCAGTACCACACGTGTCACATGTCAGAACCACACGTGTCACATGTCAGAACCACACGTGTCAGTTGTCAGTACCACACGTGTCACATGTCAGAACCACACGTGTCACATGTCAGTACCACACGTGTCACATGTCAGTACCACACGTGTCACATGTCAGAACCACACGTGTCACATGTCAGTACCACACGTGTCACATGTCAGTACCACACGTGTCACATGTCAGTACCACACGTGTCACATGACCACACGTGTCACATGTCAGTACCACACGTGTCACATGACCACACGTGTCACATACCACACGTGTCACATGACCACACGTGTCACATGTCAGTACCACACGTGTCACATGACCACACGTGTCACATGTCAGTACCACACGTGTCACATGACCACACGTGTCACATGACCACACGTGTCACATGTCAGTACCACACGTGTCACATGACCACACGTGTCACATGTCAGCACCACACGTGTCACATGTCAGTACCACACGTGTCACATGACCACACGTGTCACATGTCAGAACCACACGTGTCACATGTCAGTACCACACGTGTCACATGTCAGTACCACACGTGTCACATGTCAGAACCACACGTGTCACATGTCAGAACCACACGTGTCACATGACCACACGTGTCACATGTCAGAACCACACGTGTCACATGTCAGAACCACACGTGTCACATGTCAGTACCACACGTGTCACATGTCAGTACCACACGTGTCACATGTCAGTACCACACGTGTCACATGTCAGTACCACACGTATCACATGACCACACGTGTCACATGTCAGTACCACACGTGTCACATGTCAGTACCACACGTGTCACATGACCACACGCGTCACATGTATATTATCGTCAGGTGGGGCTGATTGTGATGTCACACACTGGTCTCAGCTTTGACCTGTTTATGGAAGGATTTAGTTAAAACTTATATTTTTATAGAAGTAGAAAACAAACAAGACACAGACGTTAGATTTGAAAAATACAGTTTGAAAATTGGTTGGACCAAGAAAATACTAATTGTCACCTCCCCCCTCTCTCTCTCTCTCTCTCTCCCTCCTCTCCTTTCTCTCTCTCCCTCCTCTCCTTTCTCTCTCCTCTCCTTTCTCTCTCTCCCTCTTCTCTCTCTCTCCCTCCTCCTCTCCTTTCTCTCCTCCTCCTCTCCTTTCTCTCTCTCCCTCCTCTCCTCTCCTTTCTCTCTCTCTCTCCTCTCCTCTCCTTTCTCTCTCTCTCTTCTCTCTCTCTCCCTCCTCTCCTCTCTCTCTCTCCCTCCTCTCCCTCTCTCTCCTCTCCTCTCTCTCCCCTCCTCTCCTCTCTCTCCTCTCCTCTCTCTCTCCCTCCTCTCTCTCTCTCCCTCCTGTCCTCTCTCTCCCTCCTCTCCTTTCTCTCTCCCTCCTCTCCTCCCTCTCTCTCTCCCTCCTCTCCTCTCTCTCCCTCTCCTCTCTCTCCTCTCTCCCTCTCCTCTCCCTCTCCTCTCTCCCTCCTCTCTCTCTCTCCCTCCTCTCTCTCTCTCCCTCCTCTCCTCTCTCCCTCCTCTCTCTCTCTCTCTCCTACAGGTCTAGTAATCGCTTGAACCCTGAGACTGAGATGTGACATCACTCTCACAGCCCTATTATTGCATATACATATCTGTGCCATACTATTAAATACATATCTGTGCCATACTATTAAATACATATCTGTGCCATACTATTAAATACATATCTGTGCCATACTATTAAATACATATCTGTGCCATACTATTAAATACATATCTGTGCCTATTGAATACGCTCTGGTCTTTAACCTGCTCTAGCTCACGTGAAACAGGGTTAATTCTTATTCTGTGATGTCTTTGTTGTATTCTCTCTTTAAGGGTCTGTTTTTGTGTTTTCAGCTAAAGTTTTATATTTGATGCTGTAGCTGCCGTCGAAGGCCGCCATCTTGTATTTTTGCTCGGCCAGTAAATAAATAAACGTGCCTTTGCCTTTAACCATGTTTGTTTCTCTGTGTTGTATGTAGAAGAATCAGAAGGCTGCATTGTTCAATTGGCATTTATTATCAGTTTTAAGAAAGGTGCCAGACAGCTCCAAAGTCTGGTTCATGGACGCTCCTGCAGAAGTCTACAACTCTGTGAGAGACTCAACTGTTCCAAAGTCTGATTGTCACAGAGACGATGGCGCTTATATACAGTGCCTTGCAAAAGTATTCGGCCCCCTTGAACCTTTCAACATTTCGCCACATTTCAGGCTTCAAACAAAGATAATAACATTTAAATTTTTTGTCATGAATCAACAACAAGTGGGACACAATCGTGAAGTGGAACGAAATTTATTGGATAATTTAAACTTTTTTAACAAATAAAAAACTGAAAAGTTTTACTTTCAGTGCAGCAAACTCAGTCCAGAAGTTCAGTGAGGATCTTTGAATGATCCAATGTTGTCCTAAATGACTGATGATGATAAATAGAATGCACCTGTGTGTAATCAAGTCTCCGTATAAATGCACCTGCTCTTTGATAGTCTCAGGGTTCTGTTTAAAGCACAGAGAGAACCATGAAGACAAAGGAACACACCAGGCAGGTCCGAGATACTGTTGTGGAGAAGTTTAAAGCTGGATTTGGATACAAAAAGATTTCCCAAGCTTTAAACATCTCAAGGAGCACTGTGCAAGCAATTATATTGAAATGGAAGGAGTATCAGACCACTGCAAATCTACCAAGACCCGGCCGTCCCTCCAAACTTTCATCTCAAACAAGGAGAAGACCGATCAGAGATGCAGCCAAGAGGCCCATGATCGCTCTGGATGAACTGCAGATAACTACAGCTGAGGTGGGAGAGTCTGTCCATACGACAACAATCAGTCGTGCACTGCACAAATCTGGCCTTTATGGAAGAGTGGCAAGAAGAAAGCCATTTCTCAAAGATATCCATAAAAGTCTCGTTTAAAGTTTGCCACAAGCCACCTGGGAGACACACCAAACATGTGGAAGAAGGTGCTCTGGTCAGATGAAACCAAAATCAAACTTTTTGGCCACAATGCAAAACGATATGTTTGGCGTAAAAGCAACACAGCTCATCACCCTGAACACACCATCCCCACTGTCAAACATGGTGGTGGCAGCATCATGCTCTGGGCCTGCTTTTCTTCAGCAGGGACAGGGAAGATGGCTAAAACTGATGGGAAGATGGATGGAGCCAAATACAGGACCATTCTGGAAGAAAACCTGTTGGAGTCTGCAAAAGACCTGAGACTGGGACGGAGATTTATCTTCCAACAGGACAATGATCCAAAACATAAAGCCAAATCTACAATGGAATGGTTCACAAATAGACGTATCCAGGTGTTAGAATGGCCAAGTCAAAGTCCAGACCTGAATCCAATCGAGAATCTGTGGAAAGAGCTGAAGACTGCTGTTCACAAACGCTCTCCATCCAACCTCACTGAGCTCCAGCTGTTTTGCAAGGAAGAATGGGCAAGAATTCCAGTCTCTCGATGTGCAAAACTGATAGAGACATACCCCAAGCGACTTGCAGCTGTAATTGCAGCAAAAGGTGGCGCTACAAAGTATTAGCGCAAGGGGCCGAATAATATTGCACACCCCACTTTTCAGTTTTTTATTTGTTAAAAAAGTTTAAATTATCCAATAAATTTAGTTCCATTTCACGATTGTGTCCCACTTGTTGTTGATTCTTGACAATAATTAAATTTTTATATCTTTATGTTTGAAGCCTGAAATGTGGCGAAATGTTGAAAGGTTCAAGGGGGCCGAATACTTTCGCAAGGCACTGTATATATGTGTGTTTTAAGAGTCAAAAGTTCCTGTAAAGTTTGGTTGAAGCACTGGTTCAGTGTTCCTGTTTACACACTATGCAGCAGGGTTGCCAGGTTTGGGGGTTCCCGCATATTTTTTTCCAAGAGACTTGTAGGTATTAAATGAACAGAAAGACAATAAACAGAATCATGATAGCCAGAGTTGGTTACATCACGTTTTTAGCCAAAAAATCATTCTGAGTGTTTTTTTTTTTTGGGGTATTCTCACGGATTTTGGGTTGGAAAATATTGCTGGGATTTGGCAACCTATGGGAGCCGTGTGCTTCGATGTGAGTGGTTGAAAGCAGACTTCATTCAAGATAACGGACAAGTGGTCTATCCAATCACATACAAGGATTTTTTTTACAAGGCTCTGCTTCTGAAATCCAACCACTGTGGCTCAGTACCAGACTCATGTGTGAAGTGCAGCGAACTACATGGGTCTGGCGAGAGTCAGGCTAGAAAACTAGGGCTACGACTTCGAAATTTGAATATAATTCTAAAATTAAACAAAATATATATATATATATATAAAATATATATATATATATATATATATAATTTTCAAACAATTATTAGACAGCCCTTATAATTCGAAATGTATTTAATGACTGCAAATACAATAGTTAGCTCCCAAAGGTTTCACCGGGACGTGCTAGGCAGGTAAACTAGCTAGTTCCCTGGAACTAGATGAAAAGCGGTGACCCATTTATACCAAACCTAAATCCATCAGATCCTCTTCAAATGTGTCCTAAATGTTTGTTTCATGTTAATGGTAACTTCCGGGTTTTTCGCGATCATTTTTTGTCACATTAAAATAGTAATTTTGTCATGAAAACGTTAACAAATTCTGAAATGGTCCGTGCATGTGTGTTAAGGATGTGTATACTGTATTGTCCGATTAACGTTTAATGGCGTTGATTGATATGCATTTGTTTATTGAGCGTGGCTAGCTTCTCTGTGCAGATGAGCTGCACAGTGCAGTGACAGGCACTGAAAGCTTGTTGTACTTGCAGAGTAATGTTAGTATTTTACACACCTGAATTACAAACACAGAGTGCGTTGCCAAAGGGCAGCGGCCATTATTGGTTTGAGAGTTCTGTTAAAGAAAAAATGATCTGTAGAATGACATTCAAGTCAATGGAGTGTTCTACTGCTGCTGTGAGGAGCTGTATGATAAATTATAATTAAATATTAGAATATATTCTAATGTTTTAATGAATACATGCAGATGTGAAACTAGCAGTATTCTTTTACTTATATATTGTGTTAGCAATATATAAGCAATTAACTAATAGCAATTAGTTAGGAGTCATATGGGTCTCCCTCCCTGTGGGTTTCCCTAGTGCTCCTCCAAGGTTTCTCACGTTTTCCCACTGGGTTTTTTAAGAGTTGTTCCTTGTGGATGCAGGAGGGTCTTGTTGGACAGTTAGTGTCCAACAGAAAGGATTGGTGATGATCAGGACACTTTAGCATTCTACAACATGTATGGACATTTTCTTCTGTGTGTGCTTTATATTCTTCCATGTGTTTTAACTGTTGATTCTCTGACCTGTGTTGGTGATTTCAATGGTTTTGTTAAGTCTCTGAGATGACTTCTGTTGTGACCTAGGGCTATACAAGAATACATTGTATTGTATTGTATTGTATTAGCAGTGCGTTGCTTTAGAACCATTTCATCAGTGATTGTTGTACAGTTCCGCTATGGATAGAAACACTCAAGATTGCGCATATTCAATCTGAAGAGACCAAGACAGAAACATTAAAGGAATAGTTCACCGTTTTTACATACTGACATATGTTCTTACCTTACCTTAGACTAGTTAATATGTACCTGTCTGGTCTTAGTCCGTGCGCTCTGTCATGCAAACGGAGCAAAAACGCGCACTAACTTCTCTCCGGAGACTTCTCTCTCGCTCACTTCCGTCAATAGAAGCAGCGTGACTTGTAGTACGGAGAGAAGTTAGTGCGCGGACGTAGCGCTCCTCAGATTACTACGCCTCACAATATAGTACCCGTTTTATCCGCTGAGAAAATCGACAGTTACATTTCTGTGTTACTATACTTTGCAGTGTAACACGTCACGTAACTATATACATTTAATAGGGAACACTTGGAAGAGTTTGGTAGCTTCTAGCGGGAGCTACCTTTTGGGTACTATACAGTATACAGAGGAGGCTGCGTTTTTGCTCCGTTTGCATGACAGAGCGCACGGACTAAGACCAGACAGGTACATATTAACTAGTCTAAGGTAAGGTAAGAACATATGTCAGTATGTACAAACGGTGAACTATTCCTTTAACTTATTGACTGCCATTGAAGTATTTGTCTGAGACTGGTGATTTCTGTCAAACTTCTCTCTATTCGAGGGAGGATTACAGGAGAACCAAACTAGCAAGAAACAAACTTATTTTTGCTGATGAAAGTAGACAATGCAGTCTTTCAGAATCTGGTTTCAAATTTTACATAGTCATAGCACACAATATTCTGTGGGCCTTGAAAATCAGTGAAATCATCAAAAACAGCTGGCAGTCAATGAGTTAATGCATGAAAAATATTTATTTGTTTGGCATTGACCCCGGCAGTGACACTTGCAGAGGGAAGATCATTTGCTGCTGTGATGAGCTCAGACCCCCCGGGGTCAAGCACTGGTGGTGGCGAGAAGCATGGTGTGAATGGGGCGCAGGTGGAGCAGGAGCCAGGGCAGGAGCCAGAGCAGGAGCCAGAGGAGGAGGCAGAGCAGGAGCCAGAGCAGGAGCCAGGGCAGGAGCCAGAGCAGGAGCCAGAGCAGGAGCTAGGGCAGGAGCCAGGGCAGGAGCCAGAGCAGGAGCCAGGGCAGGAGCCAGAGCAGGAGCCAGAGCAGGAGGCAGAGCAGGAGCCAGAGCAGGACCAGGGCAGGAGCCAGAGCAGGAGCCAGAGCAGGAGCTAGGGCAGGAGCCAGGGCAGGAGCCAGAGCAGGAGCCAGGGCAGGAGCCAGAGCAGGAGCCAGAGCAGGAGCCAGAACAGGAGCCAGAGCAGGAGCCAGGGCAGGAGCCAGAGCAGGAGCCAGAGCAGGAGCCAGGGCAGGAGCCAGGGCAGGAGCCAGAGCAGGAGCCAGAGCAGGAGCCAGGCAGGAGCCAGGGAGAGCCAGGGCAGGAGCCAGAGCAGGAGCCAGGGCAGGAGCCAGAGCAGGAGCCAGAGCAGGAGCCAGAGCAGGAGCCAGAACAGGAGCCAGAACAGGAGTCAGGGCAGGAGCCAGAGCAGGAGCCAGGGCAGGAGCCAGAGCAGGAGCCAGAGCAGGAGCCAGGGCAGGAGCCAGAACAGGAGCCAGAGCAGGAGCCAGAGCAGGAGCCAGAGCAGGAGCAGAAACCCAAGTAGGAACCAGGAGCTGAGGAGGCTTCTGTCGGTGGGTTGACGAGGGGCTGGCAGAGCTGTGTGATTGGCAGGCCCTGGACGGGTGAGAGCCGTGGCCGGTCTTTCAGTCTGAATCTTCGAGTTAAGCTTCTAAGTAAGAAATGTGCAAACATGTTGATGCAGGACATATTATGTACAAAAAGTGGCACTAAGAAAGAAGTGTCAATAGTGCAGGTTTGTTCAGTCATAATGCAGTGACTTAAACAAAAGCCGTGGACCTGCGCACGGCCAGTGCACATACAGAGTAATGTTAACGCCTCCTGTGGACATTCCCTGTTACATAAACCTGTGAACGGTGGATAAATAACATCTGTTCTGATGTAGAAATATAAATGAGATAAAACCTTATCTACAACGGCGTCCTTGGCCGTGAGCAGTCAGAGGGTATAAAACCAGCAGCAGCCCACCCCTCCTCACCGCCACAGACCTCCACAGACCTCCACAGACCTCCACAGACCTCCACAGACCTCCACAGACCTCCACAGACCTCCACAGACCTCCACAGACCTCCACAGACCTCCACAGACCTCCACAGACCTCCACAGACCTCCACAGACCTCCATAGACCTCCACAGACCTCCATAGACCTCCACAGACCTCCTCACCTCCACAGACCTCCACAGACCTCCATAGACCTCCACAGACCTCCTCACCTCCACAGACCTCCACAGACCTCCTCACCTCCACAGACCTCCACAGACCTCCACAGACCTCCACAGACCTCCATAGACCTCCACAGACCTCCTCACCTCCACAGACCTCCACAGACCTCCATAGACCTCCATAGACCTCCACAGACCTCCACAGACCTCCACAGACCTCCACAGACCTCCACAGACCTCCACAGACCTCCATAGACCTCCATAGACCTCCACAGACCTCCACAGACCTCCACAGACCTCCACAGACCTCCTCACCTCCACAGACCTCCACAGACCTCCACAGACCTCCACAGACCTCCACAGACCTCCATAGACCTCCACAGACCTCCACAGACCTCCTCAGACCTCCATAGACCTCCACAGACCTCCTCACCTCCACAGACCTCCACAGACCTCCACAGACCTCCACAGACCTCCACAGACCTCCACAGACCTCCACAGACCTCCACAGACCTCCACAGACCTCCACAGACCTCCACAGACCTCCACAGACCTCCACAGACCTCCACAGACCTCCACAGACCTCCACAGACCTCCACAGACCTCCACAGACCTCCACAGACCTCCACAGACCTCCACAGACCTCCACAGACCTCCACAGACCTCCACAGACCTCCACAGACCTCCTCACCTTCACAGACCTCCTCACGCCTCCTCACACCTCCTCCTTTAGTCTCCTTTAGACCTCACTCCTCCAGTGGACCATGGACACGGCTGGTTTCCTGATGCTGCTGCTGAGTTCCTCTCTTCTCTTCTTTGAGGGGAATAGTTTGGATGTTCCGTCTGACATTGAGTCAGCGCTGAAAGAGATGAGAGCTGCACTGTCTGCACAGCAGGAGGAGATCAAACTTCTGCAGGAGGAAAACAAGGGTAAATATCTTCTGAATATGAACATAATTTAATGGCAGCCATGAATAAGTAGTGTTTGTGTTCTATGTTTATGCATGGGCCTTTGTTTAACCAGGAAAGTCTCACTGAGTTTCAGAATGTCAGTGTTTAACCAGTGTTTTTTTATTCACTGATGACTGGTGTATGCAAGTATAGTGCGAGAGAGTTGTTTTTCTTCCTTTTGAAGTTGGCAAAGCTGCAGAGCCTGCACCTGTCAGAGTCACATGTGCCATTGCACTTTGACATGATTAAAGACAGTTTGATTTCCTCCACAGCCACGAGGACAGAAGTGGACTCGCTCCAAAACAAAGTCACAGGTTTGTTGATATGAAAGTTCAGAGCTGGAGGCGTTGGCTCTAACTCTGTCTGTGTGGAATCAGCTCAAGAGGCTGCACTGGAGCGTCTGCAGACCGGCTCCTCTGTCACGGAACACAAAGTGGAAGCTCTGACTCACCACAAAACAGGTGCAAACACATTGTTTCATTTAGTCTACTTTAGCTTCCTTTAGTCTCCTCCTGGTTCGATCCCTGGTTCCACCTCTGGTTCCTCTGTTGCAGTGAGGCAGGTGGCCTTCTCTGCAGCTCTGGTTGATTCTGGAGCAGGTCGGTGGTTTGGGCCTTTTGAGTCTGACACTACACTGGTCTACAAACATGTGGTCACAAACACTGGAAATGCCTACGACCCAGACACAGGTGTGTAAAGCTGTGTTCAGACCGCCAACGCTGAAACGCACATTCTCTAGTTTTCAGACCAGAGGTCTTGGCCGGAAGTGGCGGAAGTAGCCGGCGGGCTCTGATGCTAACAGAGTTTAGCTAGCAGCTTCTGTAAAGATCTTCTCCAATAATGCAGCTCTGCAGCGTCTCTGTGTCTGAGACCTTCAGACTTTATATAACAGCAGTATATGTTCACGGAGGTGACTTTATATAACAGCAGTATGTGTTCACGGAGGTGACTTTATATAACAGCAGTATGTGTTCACGGAGGTGACTTTATATAACAGCAGTATGTGTTCACGGAGGAGACTTTATATAACAGCAGTATGTGTTCACGGAGGAGACTTTATATAACAGCAGTATGTGTTCACGGAGGTGACTTTATATAACAGCAGTATATGTTCACGGAGGTGACTTTATATAACAGCAGTATGTGTTCACGGAGGTGACTTTATATAACAGCAGTATGTGTTCACGGAGGTGACTTTATATAACAGTAGTATGTGTTCACGGAGGTGACTTTATATAACAGTAGTATGTGTTCACGGAGGAGACTTTATATAACAGCAGTATGTGTTCACGGAGGTGACTTTATATAACAGCAGTATGTGTTCACGGAGGTGACTTTATATAACAGCAGTATGTGTTCACGGAGGTGACTTTATATAACAGCAGTATGTGTTCACGGAGGTGCGCCATAAGTGTATTTTTTTTAATTAAACTGCATCAAGAACACACTCGAAGCAGTTGCATAAAGTCACAGGAGCCTGAAAACACATGTGTTCACAAGCATTATGTCCCCCATTGTCAACACTGGCTGAGGTCCTGGCTGAGGTCCTGGCTGAGGTCCTGGCGTAGCTCCTGTTTTGGCGGTTTACAGTATTTTCAGTCTGCTCGCTCAGACCGCTAATGTCCCCGTGACCACTTTGCAGCTCTCTGATTGGTCGCTGCACGAGCGTCCCGTAAAGATTGAGCAAAATCCTTCTCCTGCTCCTCCCCTTCGACTTCCCAGCGCGGTCTGTGCATTCAGAGACGTTCGTGCGTTTTGACTAGAGGTGCAACGGTTCATCACTGATCCGTTCGGTTCAACGTCTTCGGTTCGGTGCAGACGTGATCCGCGGTTTGATTTATGAACAAAAAGTTGTGCGTACGTTGTTCAGTCCACACTCAGCTCACGGCGAGCGGAGGAACGGAGGAGCTTGAAAGCCCCGTGTCATTTAAATCCCAGTATGAGAGCATTTTGGCTTCACTGTAACTACACTGATCATTAATATTCAACTAAACTGTCACGATGTGTAAACACTGGACCAAGAAAGACATGAAAGATCCATGAACAGAACCTATAATAGATCCATGAACAGAACCTATAATAGATCCATGAGCAGAACCTATAATAGATCCATGAACAGAACCTATAATAGATCCATGAACAGAACCTATAATAGATCCATGAACAGAACCTATAATAGATCCATGAGCAGAACCTATAATAGATCCATGAGCAGAACCTATAATAGATCCATGAACAGAACCTATAATAGATCCATGAACAGAACCTATAATAGATCCATGAGCAGAACCTATAATAGATCCATGAGCAGAACCTATAATAGATCCATGAACCTATAATAGATCCATGACAGAACCTATAATAGATCCATGAACAGAACAGAACCTATAATAGATCCATGAACAGAACCTATAATAGATCCATGAACAGAACAGAACCTATAATAGATCCATGAACAGACAGAACCTATAATAGATCCATGAACAGAACCTATAATAGATCCATGAACAGAACCCTATAATAGATCCATGAACAGAACAAACTATAATAGATCCATGACAGAACCTATAATAGATCCATGAACAGAACCTATAATAGATCCATGACAGACAGAACCTATAATAGATCCATGAACAGCACGAACCTATAATAGATCCATGAACAGATGAGCAGAACCTATAATAGATCCATGAACAGAACCTATAATAGATCCATGAGCAGAACCTATAATAGATCCATGAACAGAACCTATAATAGATCCATGAGCAGAACCTATAATAGATCCATGAACAGAACCTATAATAGATCCATGAACAGAACAGAACCTATAATAGATCCATGAACAGAACCTATAATAGATCCATGAACAGAACCTATAATAGATCCATGAACAGAACCTACCTATATAGATCCATGAACAGAACCTATAATAGATCCATGACAGAACAGAACCTATAATAGATCCATGAACAGAACCTATAATAGATCCATGAACAGAACCTATAATAGATCCATGAGCAGAACCTATAATAGATCCATGAACAGAACCTATAATAGATCCATGAACAGAACCTATAATAGATCCATGAGCAGAACCTATAATAGATCCATGAACAGAACAGAACCTATAATAGATCCATGAACAGAACAGAACCTATAATAGATCCATGAGCAGAACCTATAATAGATCCATGAGCAGAACCTATAATAGATCCATGAACAGAACCTATAATAGATCCATGAACAGAACCTATAATAGATCCATGAACAGAACCTATAATAGATCCATGAAGCAGAACCTATAATAGATCCATGAACAGAACCTATAATAGATCCATGAACAGAACCTATAATAGATCCATGAACAGAACCTATAATAGATCCATGAACAGAACAGAACCTATAATAGATCCATGAAACAGAACCTATAATAGATCCATGAACAGAACAGAACCTATAATAGATCCATGAACAGAACAGAACCTATAATAGATCCATGAACAGAACAAACCTATAATAGATCCATGAACAGAACCTATAATAGATCCATGAACAGAACAGAACCTATAATAGATCCATGAACAGAACCTATAATAGATCCATGAACAGAACCTATAATAGATCCATGAACAGAACCTATAATAGATCCATGAACAGAACCTATAATAGATCCATGAACAGAACCTATAATAGATCCATGAACAGAACCTATAATAGATCCATGAACAGAACCTATAATAGATCCATGAACAGAACAGAACCTATAATAGATCCATGAACAGAACAGAACCTATAATAGATCCATGAACAGAACCTATAATAGATCCATGAACAGAACAGAACCTATAATAGATCCATGAACAGAACAGAACCTATAATAGATCCATGAACAGAAACCTATAATAGATCCATGAACAGAACAGAACCTATAATAGATCCATGAGCAGAACCTATAATAGATCCATGAGCAGAACCTATAATAGATCCATGAACAGAACAGAACCTATAATAGATCCATGAACAGAACAGAACCTATAATAGATCCATGAACAGAACCTATAATAGATCCATGAACAGAACAGAACCTATAATAGATCCATGAACAGAACAGAACCTATAATAGATCCATGAACAGAACAGAACCTATAATAGATCCATGAACAGAACCTATAATAGATCCATGAACAGAACCTATAATAGATCCATGAACAGAACCTATAATAGATCCATGAACAGAACAGAACCTATAATAGATCCATGAACAGAACAGAACCTATAATAGATCCATGAACAGAACAGAACCTATAATAGATCCATGAACAGAACCTATAATAGATCCATGAACAGAACAGAACCTATAATAGATCCATGAACAGAACAGAACCTATAATAGATCCATGAACAGAACAGAACTATAATAGATCCATGAACAGAACCTATAATAGATCCAGAACCTATATAATAGATCCATGAACAGAACAGAACCTATAATAGATCCATGAACAGAACAGAACCTATAATAGATCCATGAACAGAACTTATAGATCCATGACAGAACCTATAATAGATCCATGAACAGAACAGAACCTATAATAGATCCATGAACAGAACAGAACCTATAATAGATCCATGAACAGAACAGAACCTATAATAGATCCATGAACAGAACAGAACCTATAATAGATCCATGAACAGACTATAAATCCATGAACAGAACCTATAATAGATCCATGAACAGAACAGAACCTATAATAGATCCATGATAATGAACATGAACAGAACCTATAATAGATCCATGAACAGAACAGAACCTATAATAGATCCATGAACAGAACAGAACCTATAATAGATCCATGAACAGAACAGAACCTATAATAGATCCATGAACAGAACAGAACCTATAATAGATCCATGAACAGAACAGAACCTATAATAGATCCATGAACAGAACAGAACCTATAATAGATCCATGAACAGAACAGAACCTATAATAGATCCATGAACAAACTATATAGATCCATGAACAGAACAGAACCTATAATAGATCCATGAACAGAACATATAATAGATCCATGAACAGAACCTATAATAGATCCATGAACAGAACCAGAACCTATAATAGATCCATGAACAGAACAGAACCTATAATAGATCCATGAACAGAACAGAACCTATAATAGATCCATGAACAGAAACCTATAATAGATCCATGACAGAACAGAACCTATAATAGATCCATGAACAGAACAGAACCTATAATAGATCCATGAACAGAACAGAACCTATAATAGATCCATGAACAGAACCTATAATAGATCCATGAACAGAACCTATAATAGATCCATGAACAGAACAGAACCTATAATAGATCCATGAACAGAACAGAACCTATAATAGATCCATGAACAGACACCTATAATAGATCCATGAACAGAACAGAACCTATAATAGATCCATGAACAGAACAGAACCTATAATAGATCCATGAACAGAACAGAACCTATATAGATCCATAGATCCATGAACAGAACCTATAATAGATCCATGAACAGAACCTATAGATCATAGATCCATGAACAGAACAGAACCTATAATAGATCCATGAACAGAACAGAACCTATAATAGATCCATGAACAGAACAGAACCTATAATAGATCCATGAACAGAACCTATAATAGATCCATGAACAGAACAGA